CCAGCTGAGCATGTCCAAGGTTAGTGGTTACACACTCCGTTGAACAGTTATAACGAAGCACTTTAGAATCCAGTGTGTGTCAGTGTGTAGCTGGATGTCATAAGAAATACATAATCGACCTGTAGCGAGCCTTAGTAGCACACTGGATGTATTTTTCTCTGCAGGATGACGTCTTACTGGAGGTGGAGGATCTTTACTATTTGCTTGTGGACTTCCCAAAAACTGTAAACGAAGACACCGCGTCGGCCATCTTTAATAAGAAGAAACGAAGACTTACATTGAAAGTGAATGTCTTGTGATCATTTTCCTTAATTAAGAAACAAATGCGCAGTGTTTGTTAAGCTAGCTAAACACTGGCATTGAAAATGCCTCAAACAAAAACAACAAAACTCCTGTTATGCAATGTACAAATAAAAAAAAAAAGGAAAAAAGCACTGAGAGCGCATTGTGCTGTGGAGGGACTCGTATTCTGCCTCAGAATTCAAGTTAACTAACAATAAACAGCTTGCGTGTAAATTGATCCATTTCCAAGAGCAACATGTTTGTGAAACAAATATGTAACAGTGTCCCTTTGTGCTGTGTGGGCTGAGGCTCAGCAGCAAATTTAATTCTACTCCCACCCCCCCCAAAAAAAAATTAATTGACTTTAATGACAATCTGTGGATTTTGTTTATTAATGTGTGGGCGCGTGAGTGGAGGTGTTTAATGGCTACGAGCTGGTGTCATTACCGTATGCAGGGGGGAATAATTGACAACAAAACGAACCATGCAATAATTTATGTTTATTAAAACATCAAAATTGATGCAGAACAACAACATCAGTGTTTGGCAATCTGGAACACGTGGAAAATGTCAGTAAACACTTCTTTCTTTTTTTTGAGGTTTGCATACTATGCACTGATTACAGCTTTTTAAAGCACAGCGTAGCTTGTTATTTCATATAAAGCTAACATTATTTTATTATTCAAGTATGACTTTACTGACCATTACGTGGTAGTCCCACAAACCTATTTATGAGCTGCAAACAATGTGCGACATGCGGTCCGTAAACAAAAAAAAACATTGTATCCAAATGTTTAGATTCTTCATATGAAACATTCACTTTTAAAACATGGTTTTGTACCTTAATGGTGTTAGCTCCATTGGTCCCAGTTTTGTGTCGTAACACTATTCTTTCTTATGGCATCAGAAGTATTTTCAGTAGCTTCCTGGTCCAGTGGGAACAGCTGAGGTTTGTAGTGACGATCTCTAGTTTTTTGGCTCTATCTCCGCTCTCCGTGATCCTCCTCAACCCACGCAACAATCTTCCCCTCCCAGCCAGGGACAACGGCTCCATCCTGAAACACCTGAAAAGCCAGCATCCAGTGTTTACATATCTGAGAGACCCATATCTATACTATAAAAGGTTTGGATAGAAAGTAAAAATGAATACTTGAGGTTATCCAATTCTTTGGGATGGAAATAAGTCTCCCCATGGTGTTTTGAAGTGCACAGTAGGCACAGCTATTATTAGCATATCTTACTCTATAACTGCCGTTTTACATTTGCCAACTGAAGCCCAATGTGAAGAGAAATAGGGGCTGTAATTTTACTTCCACGCCTACCTCCTCTTTCACTGTGCCAAACTCTGGGTCAAGGGCCTTGAAGTGGTATCTGAAACTGCCTTGTCTGTCTACAGCTGCCTTGAAGTCTCGCAGTGTCACCTCTCCCAGCCTGGAAGCACACATATATCCACACAGATGTTATGCTTTGGATAAACCAGCCCAGGCATCCATATGCGGCTATGGTCAACCAAAACCCAACTAACAATTTGCTTAAAAAATAAAGAACGCTCCAGTGAAGCAACACACAGCACCGTATCAAACCACCATAAAGTGTTTATATACTCACCTTTTTGGAATGTTAATCAGAAATGGAGTGAGCGAGCGATCTGTGAAGTAGAGCACTTTAGTGGAGACGGCAGTATCCAGTCCTGGGCTGCTGTGTGAGTGCGCCATTTCTGGAAAAAAAAACAGCAAACATTGTTTTTCCACAACCAAAGTCTGAAAGGGTTTTAGCCTCACACTCAGTCATGCCCTCTCTTTGCAGCGCAGTGTAATTGAATGGCACAATTTGATTTAACAGCCAGTAGAGATGTTGCGGGGGATGACAAATCCTAAACAAAAACGAGCATTTTGTTTGTCTCACTCGAGCTCGGCGGCCAGGAGTCACGATCTGTCGAGTTGGCTCTGCGTCCCGGCGATTTGAATTCCTCCTAGAAGAAGAACCAATTACTCATAGCAAACAGTCGGATGTTATCAGTTGCTGAGTCATCATTTGGCAAGTGACAGACGAGCTACTACATTTTAAAATTTCCTCTTTGAGGTTGTGAGAGCGAGAGTGTGTACCCCTCTGTCCTGTCTTCGCTGGGTGTCCAGAGAGTGCAGTCTGTCCATGAGAGTGGCCACGCCCTGCTCCAGAGTGTCCAGGGTGTGATGTTGGGGGTCATGGCCGGAAAAACTGTCCCTCAAACTGCGAAGTGCTTCCCTGACGACCTGCAGCTCTTCACCCTGTGAAAAACAGTCCTCTGATACTTAAAAAGAATTGGAAAAAAAGTCGAAATCATTTTGAACTATGGACATTTACAGACATTATTGGTTAATGAGAGAATTAAAGAGTGCATACTGGTGCGCTGTGCTGGAACACTGGAGGAGATGTCGAAGCGACTGAGTTACTGTACCCGCTGCCCTCGCTCCTGAACGCCTATCAGAGACAGAGACAGTATAGACCAAGGTGAAAAGTGTTCTGAATGAAAAGTGTGATAATATTTACAAAATGTGCTCAGAAACTGCAATACAAAGAGCAAACACTGGGCCTGTGTAGCTAAAAAAAACAGCCAGAAAGCTTATTAATCTAAATAAGAGCTTCACTTTTGTCCAAAAACTATAATATAAAAAAAAAACCCATCACAACCGTAGTGGGTGACATGTTTTTTTCCTATCATGATGAACACCGTGCACAGTAGTCTATTTTGAGTCGATTTCACATACAGCATCCTTGCTGCAAGGGATACTCACCGGTGCAAGAAATATGTATTAATCTGCCACTGAAAATAGTCTCCAACAAATGCACCATTTACTCTGATCTGAGTAACAATTTATAAAGACCACACCGCTGAGGTGTAGTGGGAAATGTAATGTTTTCTTCAAGCATCCTGCTGCCTTAATATATTTCTAGTTTTTGGTCTTATTGAGTAATGTTTCTCGTAAGAAGAAATATATGGGCTATCTTGCGGCAAGTACAATGTAATCACAGACCGATGCGCGATAAAAAAACAAACAAACATTGGTGTTATATATGAGTCCTGTATTCAAACATATGTTATTTAGCACGTATATGTGAAACCTGTCATGCTGCATACCCGTCCCAGGCTGACTTCATGTGCCTTGTGCTGAGCTTCATCAAGCTTTTGCTGCTGCTGCTGCAGTATTCTGTCCTTCCTCCCGAGCTGCTGCTATTGTGACAAGAGAGATGGATGGCACGAGGATTTATTTGCATCTCTATGGCTAAAATAATGCACTGACGTGTATATAATAAAAGACAATACCTCATATTCGCTAAGTAATTTGTTCCTTTCACTCAGCTTGCGTTTGAGCTCTGCCTGCAAACAGTTATATCAAGGTGATATGTGAGTGCTATAGTTCTCTCACTTAAACCTGCAGCCACGAGTCAAAGAGGTCGAATATTTCATCGTGTCAAAGGGAAATCATCACTTGTCTCACATTTTCCCCCTCCAGCTGATCTTTGGCCATGTTGCACCTCAGTAGTTCCTGCTTTAGCTGCAGCACAGCATCCTCCTGCACTGCCAAGCGCTGCTGCAGAGCATCCTAATGAGAAGCAGGAGGGAGATCAAAGAATTGTCCAGAAAAGACCTGAATACTGATGAACTGCATCCACCTGCCTCGTCGACAGGATCCACCCAGCTCTAAACTTTTTTTGATCTTTGTAAAGAAATTATAAATGTATAATTTATGTAATAAAACTTACAGAATCATCAGTTTGGGAGGGCGCAATAGTCAAAAAGGTTAAATATAATCCTTTAATCCATTTTACTTCACAGATAAAGCCCAAAACTAGAGTAAGAGGTTTACCTTGATGGCCTGAATGTGACGTGTCTCCTGTTTGTGCCTCAGAAGTTCCCTCTAAGAGCCACACAAAGGAACAACAAAAACATTAGAGAAAAGGACTCTGCCCCTAAGACAGCTCATCTATGTTAAACCTAATTACATTTACTTACTGTACCTTGAGATCAAGGGCTTCCTCCATGCTTTGGTCCAGGCGACTGCGGATGAGAACCTTCAAAGGGAGAGGGTACGAGCAGGGTAATTAGAGAATGGAAAAATGTCAGAACGTATGAGGAGGCATTGGGCCTCCATGACAGTGCGCTGGCAGATCAGAGAGATTCATTTGTGCTCTATAGTGGCCACTCGTGAGACGAGTAATGGCTACAAACATCATCAGAACAGAAGGGCTGACACGGACACTTCAAGCTCGGTGGCGAGCAAGTGTTGTTTGTTTTCCCAAGTTAGCAGAGAGAGGGCACTGTACCAGCTGCTGCTCGGTGTTAGCCCGGTTATCTCCAAAGCTCACGGATCCATCCTGGTCTTCCTCAGGGAGGGAGCCATGGAGCAGCAGAGCCTAAAAACAAAAAAAACATACAGATCTGAAGAAAACTTGCAAGCAATGATAGTTGCGACGCATGACAGAGAAACCAGGTTCCTGTGGTTGTAAATGCCTCCGTTTTTGCACTGCAGCTAATAAAGTCAGTGAACTGAACCAAATTAAATTGAAATTACACTGACAAGTCTGTGTAAATATACAGACTGTAAGGTAATATAGAGACTCTAAAAGTGAAAACATAAAGGCTATTACTGTAAAAGTCACCAAAACATCTATTTTTAATTTATTTTTGTATGTGGACGTGCTGTCGCTGCACCGATATTTGTAGCTGAATACTACAAATGACCCCAAACATACCAATTAAATACCATGTGCCAAACTTATTTATTTGCACAAATTAATGAAGCTGGCAAAGATTAGCAAATTTTGTAGGATTAGCTTTGTCTTTCATATTTTTATTCTTAATTATCCTAATAATCTGTGGCTCTCTTCCACACCGTGTCTTTGTTCTGTTTCCCTTACCTCAGCCCCAAACGCTTGCAGCAGTCTGCCCCTCCCTGAGCCTGATTTTGACAGAGGTTTCTTCCAGTTGAAAAGGAGTTTTTGCTTCCCACTGTTGCCAAAGGGGTTGCTTATAGGGGGTTATCTCATGCTGGGTTTTCCCTGTTTTCTTTGTATTATTGTAGGGTCTTTATCTTACAATGTAACGCTCCTTGAGGCAACTGCTGTTGTGATTTGGCGCTATATAAATGAAATTGAATT